GGATCTACTATAGTTAGAGATTAATTACTTGTAAGTTTTACATATAATTTTGAATAACTTGATCCCAAATAAACAAGAGCAGGACAGCCGAATCAGAAAAAAATTTTATAAAGATGATACACTTAAGGATGAATCGGTTAATTATGCTGATAGTCCTATAGGTGGATATGCAATGATCTTGGAACTTGAACTAACTAATGTATTGCATGTTCCAGATAAGATTAGATGGATTAGCATAAAAACCTCAGATTAGAGGGTTTAATTGGATAACTCAAATAATAGTAGATAATAGATATAGCATATAGTATAACATCTAGTAATAGGTAAATATTTAATTAGGTGCTCAAAAGGTGCAGATATGGCTAAAATATATTTTTGTCAGAATGTATTTGTTTAGGGCCCCTTGAAAAGGGCACTACATGATTCTATAATCTAATAAAAGTAGAAAGCCATAAAAGCTAACCTTGTTACAAAAAAAAAAAACAAAATTTTATAATTTTAGATATTTTTTAAGAATATAACTAAATTTAACCACTGGTGAAATATTATAAATTTAACCAGGAGGTTAAATATTATAAATTTAACCAGGAGATTAAATATTATAAATTTAACTAGAGTTAAATATTATAAATTTAATTAGTTTAAATATTACAAATTTAATCAGGTTAAATTAAACCTACAAACCCAACTCATTCTAAAAGTCACTGCCACATTTTGATCATAACCCAACCCATCTGGCCTGTTCTAATCTTAAATTTGATTTATTCTAAAAGTCACTACTATGTTTTGATCATGATCTCGACCTACTAACCTGTCTTATCAATTTGATACACAAATCAATGACATAGCTTTTATTTTGATTGTTCATATATTGCTTTCGTTTCACTTTTCTACTCACCTTTATTTTAATCAACTTTGTTGTACTTACATTGCTGTGTTCAAATAACTAAAAAAAAGATTTGGCTTAAATAAATCATTGTGTTGTTTTCATCTCGTTGACTCAATCAATATTTGATCTTTACTTATACACTATACATTGCTTCTGTTTTACTTTTTAATCACTCTTCTCAATTAGCCTCTATTATTACTTTGTTGTGTCTGAAAAAAAGATCCATCCAATATCAATTGTTGTCTTATAACTTACCTGATTTTGTTTCATCATGGTCTTTTCAACAACTATTTCCTTATCTAAATGGAGTTTAATGCTGATTTTTATCTATCTTTTGAATACTATCCTATATATCTTTTGTTTGAGGATATTTTCAACATTGAAACTTAACAATATAATCTTAAACCCAGTGTTGTTACAGACTTTTATAATGATAAAAATGAAATCAATGTTATTACTACTGTTAATAATGTTAACAATATCACCAATGTTACCAATAATTATAATGAAAAAAAATTTAATGATGATAATAAAAGTGAATATGAAAGTGCAGAGTTAGATGTGCTAAAATTAATCATAGACATGGAATTTGGAACATGGGAAATTGCTAAAGCATATCTTGAAGATTATGCTAAACAAGAAGGGTTTTGTTTTCGTAATTGACATTGTTATACAAATCTAGCTGATAATACTATAGCATATCGTTGAACATATAAATGCTCTCAAGCACGTATATATTAAGCTAAAAAAGTTGTTTTAGCAGAGGATAGAAGAGATAGAGACTCGGAGATGGTTGGCTGTTCTTGGCATGTTAATTTATCATTTCCTAAAACAGCACTTGGTATTAGAATAAATAGTATAGTAGATGAACATACTCATTCTATGAACCTATTAATTATAGAAACTGCACCAAGATTTCATCACCTAACTGAGAAAATAGTTAAAAAAATTGAGTTTTGGACTGTTAAAGGGAAGTTAAATATGATTGCACAATATAATCTATTAGCAGCATCATTTTCTAATAAAAAAATAAATAAAAAGGATTTAAGCAATGCGATACAATATTATAAAAAATAGCTGAAGCTCCTTAAGAATGATACTTGTCAAACATTAACTGATTTGTATCTAAAGAAGGATGATGACTCATCATAGATAGTGAAGCTAAGGTTCGATTCTCATGATAGAATATTAATGGCATTATTTTGGATGTCTCCAGCTCAAATACATGTTTATAAAAAGTTTTATGATGTTGTGATTATTGATACGACATCTAAAACCAACTAATTCGATATGATCTTGCTTCTAGTTACAGCTGTTGATAACGCTTTTCAGAATTTAATAGTGGCAGCAGCATTGTTAGAAGATGAAACAGAAGTAACATTTGCTTGGGTTCTAGATAAATTGAAAGGAGCTTGTGTAGTTACTTCAACAGTGATATATTTAGATGCTGATCCTGCTCTTATATTAGCTGTATAAAATAATTATCAAGAGACTTATCTCCTCTATTGCATATTTTATATTGGTCTAAATTTAAAAAAAAATCTAAAAGGAAAGTTATGTGACCAATTTGAATTGTTTAGGTCTAAATTTTTAGCTATGTATAATTCTTTATATCAAAAACAATTCGAATTTAGATGGGCTAAAATCATTAAAGAATACTCTATTTGTGAACAATATCTTACATATATTTTATATTCTTACAAAGGGAGTTGGGCTTGTTATGCAATTAACAGATGTTTTATCACAAGAATTCAGAGCATACAATGAGCAGAAAGTTCTAACAAAATAGTAAAGGAAAAACTCGATCGATATTCAAAGCTAGCTGATGTTGTTGAAGAAATTCAAGCCATATTTGATAAACAGTCTAAGAGAGCATTACTTAATAAATTTAAAAATGAAATAGCAACCAAAGGATTACCTAATATAATGGAAGAGTACTTTCTAGAACTGAATAAGCAATTGAAAGAATACTTTACACCACAAATATATCAAAGCAATGTAACCAAATGTCACAATTGCTTTATTATGATGTCTCTTTAGTTGATAATTGGTCTACATTATTAGAGGTAAAAGGCTATTCTCATTACTTATATTAAATATTATTGAGTTAAGTATTAGTGGTTAGAGTTAGAAGTTCATATATATATATATATTTTTTAGGAAACGGATGATTCATATGAATCAGAAATAGGTAGAGAAGATAATTATGACCAACTACAAGCTTTGTTTGCTTCATTAATTAGTCATATATCATCTGAAAATATTCAAGAAATATAAAAAGTAACTAGGCATCAGTTTTTACAAACAATGCTCCAATACGTGATTTTGCTTGATGATGAATCTCATCTATGCACTTGTCTTTGGCTTATTAATTAGGGCATTGTCTGTAGACATTTTTTTAGAGTCATGTTTTATTCTAAGAATGCATGTTTTTATATTATCCTTATTCCATATTGGTAGTATAATAACAAAAAAGCTGAGATCGATCAACAAATTCTTTCTTCAATTTCAATGTATCAAATTGTTAGAAATATACTAAATCCAATTCCTCCTAAACCTTTATTATTTAATCATCTTTCAGATATTAGAAAACTAACTCATGTTGAACAAAAGAGGAGTTCTAAACAAAAGTATGGTTTTGGAATTAGCTACGCTAAAAAAGCTCTAGACTATACAATTCGAGCAGATAAAGTTGATGAGTTCATCAATTATTTGGAAAGATTCATTAAAGATACAAAAGATGAATTAGATAAACATCAAGATGTTACAAACATTGAAAATCTAATTGTCATTAATCCAATTCATATGTAACATAAGAGGCATCAACCAAATCAATATAAATCAGGAGATGAAGTGCTATCTAAGAGAAAAGTATTTGATACCACAAATACAAACAATCAAGTTTCAAATGACAATAGGATTGCTCAAAGTTCTGAAAGCGGTGGCAGTAGTACAAAGTAAGTAAGACATTGTCAAAAATATAAAAAAGTTGATCATTATGCCTTGTGTTATCCAAATTTGTGATTTGCAATAATGTATCGTATATACGTGCGTACAGTATATATGCATATATTTAACGGTATATAATTACTTTGTTGTTAATTAGTTTTATACAGATATGTATTGTAAAGGATCACCAAATTTCACACTCATGCAACTGAAGATTTAAGTTAGATTATACTAGGGTTAACATTTATATATAGCGATAGTTAAGTAAATTTAAGATTTGTGAAGAGTAATATAATTATGCTACAAAAAATTGTTAGTCTTTGATATCTAAACTAATCAGTTCAAAAATTGGCTAGAAGCTAATATTAAAAGAAACTGATTCTAGCATTAATTTGCAAATTTGTCTTTGAAGACTATCTACTGTAGAATGTAATGTAACTTTAAAACGATTGGCCCAAATGTCATGAGACTAAAAAATTTTTATAAGACGTAATTATAACTAAATTGCATATCATATGATCGCATTATTAATTTATTATTATAAAATCGATTGTATAATTTTATTGATCAATATATAATTAGTGTAACTGAGTTATTTAACTAGGAGGCAAGTTAGTAGCACTTATTTTTTAAAATTTTTAAAATTTTTTTATTTTAGAATTTGGATTTTATAAAATGGTGCACCTCCTGTATCACATAATTAATATGATCAATATATGATGATAAATATATATTTTTTTTGGATTTTATAGTACTTGTACTACATAATAATATTTGTATATTATACAATTTAATATACTTTTTTATTATGAATTTAAACTGATTATAGTATTTACTAATTCTAAATACTTTAACTACTAAATTTTACTCTAACCATTAAATCCTAACTACTTTAACTCTAAAAATCACACTAACAAATCATTAAATACAACAAAGATTTCTAATACAACACACTAAACAAATAAAATACTTAAAGCAGCTAACTAAAGAAAAATACAACTGAAAGATACTACCTAACTCCAATAACAGCACTTTATTAACAACAGCCCTTATGTCTTCGTTTATGATAATACTGTATCAGTATTTCTATTATAATGACAACACCAATGACACTCTTACGTTTTTACAATAGCAACACTAATATGCACTTATATTTTCATTAATGACGATATTAATGATGCCTTTTATAATACTAAAAAAAAATGTCAGTTTATCAAATCAAAACAATGAACAATTGAATTATGCTTTCTGGAATTCCCAAAAAAAAAGCTTCATACAAACCTAAAAAAAAAAGTATTAGTAGCATTTTCATCAATCAAACTAAGAACAGCAAACAAATAAAGAATTATACTTGTCAGAGAAAACTCAAAGATGCGTTTAAAAATCAGAACAATTTTAAAATGTCTAACGAATCTAAAAAAAAAAGAAAAAATGTTAGCAATATATTAGCAAGCCAGAAGCAAAAAAAAAAAAATTATATGTACTAATATATCTCAAGACATATATCTACAGTCCCAAAAATATTAGCAGTATATTCACAGCAAAAAATGTAACGAACAAAATCATATACTCTAAATTCCTAAGACAAATGTTTAAAAATATATTAAAAAAAAAAAAGTATTAGTAACATATTTATAAACAAGAAAACATATAAATAAGATTATATATTCTAATTTCAAACCCAAAAATAACTTTTGATAATACTAAACTACTAACCTATTCGCTTAACAAACACTAAACCTAACTTCTTAACTTAAATTCTAATTGAACCTAACCTCCTAGCATTATTATATAATAACATGTCAACAATGAAGACTAAAAACATACTAGAAACAACTTTATCTACTAAAAGTAGTGTCACCCAGCAGAGTCAACAACAATAGCAGCACCTATTTCATCCAAATAACAATGACAAAGCTAAAATGAGACACCAAATCTGAACAACTATTCTAACAATAATGACAACAAATCTAAATGATAGCTCTAGTAACAACAAAACTGTTATTAATAAAAAAAATTAGTATAATAATTGTTTAACGCATTAATGCATTAAAGCTAAAAAAATTAATTGATTTAATCAATTGATAATTACTATTTATACTCCATAATCAGGTATGCATCACAGTGCATGATGCACCAAATTATAAATTTCTTAAAATTTTTATATAAAATTATTTAGTAAATTTATATATATATAAATTTAAGAAAAATTAATTAAAATTTAAAATTTGATAAACTTATTTAAATTTTTTTATTTTAACAAATTAATTTTAGTTAGTTAACCTTTATAATTTTTATAAAAAATTTAAAAAATTTATTTAATAAAATTTTTTTTTTAAATCTTAGTTAAAACTTAAAAAATTTATATATATTTATATATAAATTACTAAAAATAATAATAATTTTTATTATTAATACACTATTTATAATATAAATTAAAGAATCGAACTCTTTTCAATGATCTTCTGGTCAACAACAACAAAAACTAAACTACAGCAAAACATATAGAAAAGTGACGGAGTAGATACTAAAACTTGGTCCTATAAGTAGAAGCAGCTTGTTGTCGACGAAGTCTAAGCTGTCTAGGCGTGAAATA